AATTAATAATAAAACCCTTAAGCCTTCAAAAAAATGAAAGTAATGATTTATGCAAGTTCTCATTTTTGCTTGGTTTTGCACATCGGCTTATCTATTGCATTTACACATGAGTATTTCATGACTCTCAGTACCTCCTATTTTACCTAAACAGACTATACTTCTGTTTTCAGGAAAAGGTATTTTTCACACCAAACATTTATGTATTTTGCTCTTCAAAAAAAAGGATGTAGCTAAAAAACACAAGAAACACAAACTTTCACCTTTGATTAAATAGGAGAAAAACTGTAGCCGACTTATGCTGAACCATTGCCAATTCTACACAGTAAGACATTTAATAACTTTTAAAAATTTTGCTTTTCATTTAGTCCAGAATATTTGACAATACTGCATTTTCAACCACAGGGCTATTCATGAAGAGTTGGTCATTTGAGTCTCTGTGACATTTCAAACACTAAAGTGAGAAAAAGCCAATTAGCAATTATTTTAAATACTGCTTTTAGGGGATATGCATTTTTGGTGTGCCAGTTCTCTGGTCTTCTGAGGTCACAAAATGGACACCCAACACTGGGCAGTGGCAGGGCACTTGTGCCCGCAATGTGGAAAAGGGGAAGAGAATGTGGTTCTGCCAGTTCCAACTTCTCCATGGGGCTGACAGTGCAAGAGCCTAACCTGCTGATGAAGGGTCCTTTGTGAGGCTGCATTATCTGTTTGGTACAAATTCACTAGTTAAAGCAGCATTTATTGCTTCTTAGGAGGAATTCTTGGGTGAAAAGAGGGTGGTGGAGTGTGGGGAGAAGATATTCCTAGGGTTTTAAAAAAATCTTTATTGTTGAAAGTATTACAGATGCCCCTCCCCCTTATTTCTCCCCATTGCCTGCCTCCACCAGGTTTCTGCCCTGCCCCAGGCTTTCACCACCCTATTGTCTGTGTCCATGGGTTATTCATATGTGCATGTAAGTCCTGTGGTAAATCTCTTCCCATACCTCCCACCCTGCTTCCCTCGGAGATTCTTCAGTCTGTTCCATGTTTCCATGCCTCTGGTTCTATTTTATTCATCAGTTTATTTTGCTCATTAGATTTCTTGTTTTTTTTTATTTTGATTTTTAGTTACAATTGTTGATAGATATGTATTTATTGCCATTTTATTGTTCATATTCTTGATTTCTTCTTTTCCTCCCCCTTCCCCTCTCCCTCCCCTCCTCCTCCTCCTCCATCTCCTCCTTCTCCTTCTCCTCCTCTGCCTCATCCTTCTCCTTCTCCTCCTCTGCCTCATCCTTCTCCTTCTCCTTCTTCAAGAAGACCCTTTAACATTTCATGTAATGCTGGTTGGGTGGTGATGAACTCCTTTAGCTTTTTCTGGTCTGTGTAGTTCTTTATCTGACCTTTAATTCTAAATGGTAGCATTGCTGGGTAATCTTGGTTGTAGGTACTCGCTTTTCATCACTTTGAATATTTCTTGCCACTCCCTTCTGGCCTACAAAGTTTCTGTTAAGAAATCAGCTGACAGTCCTATGGGAACTCCCTTGTAGGAAACTGCTTTTTTCTTGCTGCTTTTAAGATTCACTCTTTGTCTTTGACCTTTGGCATTTTAATTATGATGTGTCTTGGTGTGGGCCTCTTTGGGTTTCTCTTGTTTGGGACTTTCTGTGCTTCCTGGACTTGTATGTCTATTTCTTTCACCAGATAGGGGAAGTTTTCTGTCATTTTTTTCAAATAGGTTTTCAAGTTTTTTCTCCCTCTCTTCTTCCTGTACCCCCATGATGCGAATATTGGTGTACTTGAAGTAGTCCAAGAGACTCCTTAAACTATCTTCATAATTTTGGATTCTTTTTTCTTTTTGCTGTACTGACTGGGTGTTTTCTGCTTCCTCAAATGCCAAATCACTGCTTTTATTTTCAGTGTCTTCTACTCTACTGTTGATTCCCTGTAAATTATTTTTCATTTTAGTTAGTGTATCCTTCATTTTTGACTGGTCTTTTTTTTTTATGTCATTGATGTTTTCACTAATTTCCTTGAAGTTCTTATTAAGTTCCTTGAGCATCTGTATAACCATTGTTTTGAACTCTGTATCTGGTAGTTTTCTTGCTTCCATTTCATTTTGTTCTTTTTCTGGCGATTTCTTCTGTTTTGTATTTGTGCACTGGCTCTGGGACCTCTGGGACCTCCTGGAAGGTGCAAAGTCAACTACTGCCCATGTTGTGCCTGGGGCCACCCAGCATGAGCTACAGAATGATGGGCAGATGGCTGCTACTTGTGTTGGGCTTGGAGGTGCCAAGGAGAGGGCAAGCTGTGAAGCAAGGCAGGCTGCTCTAGTGCCAAGCCTGGGGCCTCTTACTGAGAGTTATTTCTCAGCTGGCGTGGCTCAATGGATGAGCACTGACCCAGACAGGGCAAATGCCCAGGTTACAGGCTCAATCCCCAGAAGGGGGTGTGCAGGAGGCAGCCAATCAATAATTCTCTCTCATCATTGATGTTTCTCTCTCTCCCTCTTCCTTCCTCTCTAAAACCAATATATATAATGCTGGTGGTCTTAATCTTGCATCTAGAAGGGTTCAGGAATCTGTGGAGAAGGCACTGTGTGTAGATTAACCATGAGTCCAGAGACGAAACATAATTTTGGAAGGCATTTTGGGGGCCAGAGGAAACTTAGCTAAAGGAACTAAGTTCTCCTTGTCTCAGGACCCTTTGCTATTTATTAACACAACTTGTCCTAAGGCAAGGTAGATATGCACTTCAAAGGGTAGGGTTAGGTATACAGAATCCAGTGTCAGATTGGGGAAAATTGCCTATGGCTGTTCAGGTGTATGTGTGTGATTTTAAAATATGTTCACAAATTCTTTGAAACCCTTCCTTTCAAAAGGTGAAGCCTAATTTCTGTCACCTTGATGAGGCTAGACTTAGTGCGCCACCCTAGTTAATAGAATAAAGCAGAAGCAATGGTTTAGTCAGAAAAATTCGTGACTTCCTCCTCCTCCTCCCTCTCTCTCTCTCTCTGACTGCCTGGTCTGAGGGAAGCCAGCTACCAAATGATGAGAAAAGACCCACATGTCTAACTGCCATTTCCATTTTCTCACGTCTTGAGCAAATTTGAGTGCTGTGTCAGTGGTCCAATGATTTCCCGTTCTCAGCTTGTATTCTCACGTTTTTATTAGAAACTTCCTTGTCTAATAGAGCATAGAAAATAAATTTGAAACAAGAGATACTCTCTCTAGTAAGGAATTACTCTGGTATATGAACTAATAGGAACCAGTGGCCTGTCCTGGAGGCAAAGCTACTTTTTCTGTTAAATATTTTGTGTTTCCTCTTCTGCAGATTGCACACATTGCACAAATATTTGTGGCGTGCCACCCAAATGCAAGGTACAATGATGCGCTACAGGATGACTAATGCTGGATAGTTTCAACTTCCTGATTTCGTGTACATGGAATTTTCCTCTATTACCACCATGGTACTTCCCTTCTAGTGACATTATTACATGTTAAATGCAAATCATAGATATAACATCACAGGGTTGGTAGGACACTTAGCATTCACTTGATCTGTCATCCTTGGCTTTTCATTTACTGCTGCTCCAGCTCAAGCTTAATACACTGTTAAAACAGATGGATGAGAGGGAGTTCTGGAAAGGTAAATCTATGGGAGTTGGATAGTTACTGACTTGTGTCATAGAATGGTGGCGGGAGGGAAGGGAGAGTTCAGATATGTGCGGTACTAGGTATACCCAGCGGTTTCCTGGGGCTATATTCTTCCAGCATTCCGCACGGAGAAGAGACTTGAACTGGTTCATGCAATCTAGGAGGCGCTTTCGGGATTGAAGAAATAATGAAAGACAGACATAAAATAGATTAAAAACTTGGGCTGGGTGTGGTGCCTGCCCTCTGGAGGGACAGAGCGTGCAGAGAGAGAGTGAGCCAGCCAGCTCCGAAAGCTGCTTTATTATATACTTGAGTTGCATGAAGTTACATCACATCTGAGTGGGCCTTTGACATCATGAGATCCATCCCCTTAACACTGGGCGGGAGAGTCAAACTGGGTGGCCTCCAATCTTTTGACTGGTCCTGCCCTCACGGAGTGGCTCTGCCGGCCCGGAGTCCAGATGATATAAATTAAGCCAAGCGTAGTCTAACGGCCCTTAGCACTAGGAAAACAAGAAATAGAAGTGATCCGTATAAAGGGGACTAAATAACTAATCATCCAAACCAGAACATTTTTGTGGGTGAAGGGGCACCATTTTAATTACGTTGGGGCTGTCCCTGGGAAACCAGATTAGACCTACAGTAATTTATGAAGTGAAACAGAGCAAGTACAGCTTTTCTTTTCCCCTGCAGCCTCTCAGACTCTTCCATTTGCTCCAATGCCAAGGAAATCAGACATCTCAGACCAATATTGGATGTGGCAGAGGTCCCAGGACAATTCACAAGTTCCCTTCCAGTTGAGGGTAATCTGCCTGGAACCATTTCAACTGGCAGTGGAAGGTCCTCTATGAAGCTAAAAGCTAAAAGCTAAATACACAGAGTTACCAGAGTGGAGAACCTTGTCACCTGTTTGCCAAGTGTGCAACCCATTCGGCTGAAACGGCCTGGGTGCCCATTGCCTTACGTGTATTGCATGCATGCCCCGTGCGGCTGCTCTTGCTGTGTCATCTTTCCTAGAAACAGGTTCCGAAAGCTATTTGACTCCACTAAGGTGGCTGCTGAACTGGGGCTGCCTTAGGAGCTGCCATTGACTGGCACGTGGTAGATGCGCCCCGAGATGCTGGGGGAGGGCATGGTAGGGTCTTCACTACCCAGTTGCATTGGCCAAACTGCCTTTCCCTTAAGTGCTCAAGCAGGGGATGGAGAAGCATCGAGGGGGGCACACGTTCAGGGATCACATGTGCAGGCAGGAGCATAAAAGGCTGCTCAGCCCTCCCGCCACAGGACAGCGGCTGTTGCCCTCATACAAGATGGCGGCGGAGGCGTCAGTGGCCTCCTGCCCTTTTCCATCATGGCGGCGACCGGACCCGCCTCCCCGGGCGCCGGAGTCTTGTGACCCACACAATGGCTGAGAGCCTACTCCAGGCTTCCCGGCAACGCCGAGTAAAAGCCATGACGGCCGCCGCGGGTTCGGCGAGCCGGGCCGCCCTGCCCCTGCTGCTGTGCGCTCTCCTGGCGTTCGGCGGCGCGTACGTGCTCGACGACTCCGACGGGCTGGGCCGGGAGTTCGATGGCATCGGCGCGATCAGCGGCGGCGGGGTAAGCGGCCGGCGAGGGGCTGGCGTGGTGGGAGGGTGTGCGCGAGGTGGCGCGGGCGGGGAGGGGGCGCCGGGTCCCGCCCCGTCCCATCCCGCCCCACAAGCCCCCGCGGCGCCCTCCCGCGTTGGGACGCGCTGCGGGATGGGAGCTCCTGGCTCGGCGGTGCCCGCGCCCCTGCTGCGGGGCTGGGTCCCGCCTGCTCGTCTGGGATGAGCCCGTAGAGGCAGTTAGGGGTAATGGATGGGCGTCCCGAGGGCACCGAGTAAGTGGTGGCAGGTGTAGGTAGAGCCAGGGCTGGGACTCCAACCCTCCCGTGGGCGCCGGGGCGGGGGTCGCTGTTGCAGAAAGTCCGGGAGCCGGGCCTCTGTCCCGGGAGGAGGGCGCCCCAGGGAGTCTCTGGCTTCCCTCCTCCAGTCCGGGGAGGTGGGTCGGACCGAAGCCCTGGGCGGCTGCAGCTGGATTCTTTCAGAGGGGCCAGTGCCCAGCAGGTGTTTTTATTTTATTTTGAATTATTTCATTTTTCTATTAGTTTGCATTCAACACTGTTTTGCGTTAGTTTCAGGTGTAGACCTTCATATTGGTTACAAAGTGTTCCGGCTGATAATCCAAGCGCCCACCCCGCACCATGGGTAGTTATTACAGGCTATCCGGCCTAATTAGCATATACGCTTTTATTATTATAGATTATTATAGATTGTTGACTATATTCCCTATGCCTTACCTTGAACTCCATGCCTATTTTTAAATTTCCAGTTAGTACTTGTTCACCCCATCACCTTTTTTCATCCCGCTCTCCAACACCCCTCCCCTCTGACAACCGTCCCTCTATCTCTAAGTTCAATTAGGTTTTTGTTGGAGGCAGGACAGGTGCCTCCAGGCCTCTTTAGTAAGTTAAGAGGCCTGAAAATATCTGGGATTTTTTTTTTTTAATGGGGGCAAAGGCGGGGGCTGGGGTGGGATAGGGGGCATCTGTAAAAATGTCAACAATAAAAGTACAATATAATTTAAAAAGTTAAGTAGAATGGCAGGCTATACTAGTATCAACTGATAGTCTAGGATTGTTTATTGTTGGGGGGCTGTGTTGTCTACAGATGGTCCAGGCCCGCAGGGGGCAGTTGCCCACTAGAAGGGTCAGTGCCTCTGTACCTCATTTTTGTGTGTGAGGAGGGGGAAACATTGGGTCAACAGCCCAGACAGTGGCTGGCCATCCTTGGGGTGCATCCTTGGGGTGGTACTTGTTGAACTGCAGATGCTGGCCACTCCCACCCCCCATTCTGACTGTTGTCTGGAGTAGGGCTAGGAATCTGCATTTCAACAAACACACCAATTGATTCTCATGCTAAGTATTGAGACCTTCCTTCCTTCCTTCCTTCCTTCCTTCCTTCCTTCCTTCCTTCCTTCCTTCCTCCCTCCCTCCCCCCCATATCTCTCTCTCTCTCTCTCTCTCTCTCTCTCTCTCTCTCTCTCTTTCTCTTTCGGTCTTTCTTTCGATTCAAGGATTTCTGGAGTAAGGTATGGATTTAAAAAAAAAACTTTTTAAAATAGTTTTAGGTAGGCAGAAAAGTTGCCAAGACAATACAGAATTCTCATATACCGTGCAGCAGTCGCTCCTGTTAGCAGCATCCCACGTTAGTATGGTACATTTATTGCAACCAATATTAATGAAAGTCCGTATTTTCCTTCATGTTTCCTTAGTTGTACCTAATGCTCTTTTTTTCTCTTCCGGGATCCTACTCAGGATGCCAGTGGCATTTAATGGCATGTCTCCTTCGTCCTCTGTTGGCTGGTACAGTTGGGATGAGCAGGAGTTTTCTGGGCATTCCGTAAGATTTATGTGAGGGAGACTTGAGGGCCACTCCAGCTTTGTGCAGAACTGTGTGGGCACAGCTGACAATTTCCTTAACCCCCTGGTCATGCTCTCAGGTGACCTCCAGGTGTGGGAATTTGCTTCAGTAGCATCTTTGTTCTTGGCTCCAGACCACATTTACTTGATTTTGTCCCATGTTCTTTGTAACCTTTGTCTTGTCTTGATTGGATCCTTGGTAACCTTTGAGTCTGTAGGGTTTATGGTGGTGGACCTTTGGGTGAGAGGGATTTTCTTTTGTGTAACCCAGATCACAGCTAAAGCCAATTTTATTTGAAAATGTTAAGGCTGAATTCTTGTATGGGTTGTTTGTCAGGTTGGATCAGATGGAACTTGCACCCTCAGATGCCATGCAGGACTTGCCTTGAGTGCTTGCTTGCTTGCTGGGTGGGCGTTTTATGTTGGTTTCAGCCTGTTGATAACCAGTGTTGTGGCTGGACTGGTTCTTATGATTGCAATGCACTCACAAGTCCTGGAAAGCACAGGTTGATTGCTCCATGTCTCATTGAATACCTGGGACCACACAGAGAGTTGGAAGGAGAGGAAGAGAGAGAGGGGGTGTGGGCATGGGGGGGCCATTGGGGGGGAAGGTGGGGTCCTAGTGTTTTGCAGACTCGCTCTGTTGGTGAATTTAAACTTAAAAGTCCCATCCCAACCTGGCTCTTTATCTAATTGTGTGGCAGGCAATGTGCTTATTTGAGATAGCCATCTTTGAAATGGGTGCCTCAGTAATCAAAGCTTAAGTCAGGTGCTTGCATTACCAAAAAGAAGAAACCAACTCTCAGGGCTTACTAGACAATCCATCGTTGATGCTGAGGCATCAGCGCCAGTGATGAGGACATTAACTGCCTGGGTAGCTGATATGCTGAAAGTCAGGGGTAGGACACGTTGTAACCCAGAAAGTGCATGTCTAAATAGGATATAGCAGCACTCCTATACTAATTATACAGGCAACAGTCTAAAATTCAGTCCATGGCCATTGTTCCAAGCTTAAAGGGTCCTGCCATGAAACCAGGTCAATGATCTAGGGGCCCTAGAATTCTATTCAGTGGTTTTGGTCATATTGTGAAATATTTTAACATCTTGGGCCATCTGGTGTAAGTGGGTATGAACCTTTCCTGAGTTGGTAGATTGCTCCATATCTCATCAAACCAGTCTCTTAGTCCTGAGAATAGGTCAGTTCAGTTTAAGGGTTGTGTCTCATTTCAGGATATGGTGATGCAGATGGGCTCCCAAAGGTAAGCCTACATGGTCTAAGTATTTGCATCAGGTTATTTAATAAGAGGCATTTCTATGGAAACAAAAGAAAAACAATGGTTAATGGTTGGACCCTACTATAAACCCAGCCTGAGTCTTGAGGGTGGTTGAGATGTTTTCTAGACATCAGGCTTGAAACGCCTTCACATGGAGGAAGGGCAGGCAGTGGCAATCAGACAGATTTCCTAGTTCACAGTTTGAATGTCTCTGGTGACGGTTCTTAATGGCTCACAAGATATAACAGGGCACAATGCAGTAGTGCTGATTTCTCTGAAGTCTATATCAAGTTGTCCCACTTTAGCTTGCATGGCTTCAGGGAAAAGGGCAGTTTTAGTTCTCAGTGATTCAAGCCAGAAGGCAGGGTGAAAAATTTGAACATGATGATGCATAGTAATCCCCCTTTGGAAAAACTGCTGTTTGAAACTGCTGTTTGAGCTTCTCTGTTATTCTTAGACAGTCTCTTATTCCGTGGGTCAACTCTGTTATTTTTAGACTGTAATATAACTTTGTTTTTTGCTTGAATAGGAAAGATAAACTTAATTGTCTCACCTTGCAAGCTAGCCATCTAAAGGGGCTGATACACTATATTAATTCACATATTTTGCCAAGTGTTTGTTCATCCAAGGTTACAGGTGTTTGATTAGATATAATATGTATTCAAAGTTACAAGTTACAAGTTGTCTATATAGATATTGCAGGTGTTTGATTACATAGGATATGTATTCAAGGTTACAACTGTCTGTAACAATAAATACAAGAGACTTCCTGTATGTGGGGTTCAGAATTTGACAGAGGTAATCTGCTCTGAATCTGCGCACAGTAAAGATGACTCCTAACTAATTGGCTTATTTGGCGTCTTGTCTAGCTCGCTGATTTGCGATACAATACTACAAGTTTAACCTTAATTCCTTAAATCTGTCTGGTTATATCTTTCTCAAATTTGTCATTCTAGTCAAAGCCTTGGTAATATAACCAGTGTTTCCAATTGTGTCCTGTTATGAGGAGGACAGATTCTGATTGAATTTATGCCAATAACTTTTATTGCCAAGAAAATAAGAATACCAAGTTTCTGAATTCTGGAGGGATCAAGTAGGGAGAAAAATTGTTTCATCTTTGTTCACAGAGATATACTCTATCAAATTGCTGTTAAGTCATAGATAGCTTAAGAAAAAAAGGTTTCCTTAAATCTGGAAAAATATAACATTAAAGGGCCAAAAGTGTTTCAATTAAAAAGTTAGAAAAATTATAATCATCCTCATCAGTTCATTTAGTTCCATGCACTTCTTGTTGATCTTTTGTTAGCAGTTCTATGAATCCCATTTTACTTCAGGGTTCTGTAAATTTGGCAATGATCTATGCGTTCAATGAATTTCTATCATTTAATATTAATGTAGCAAAACTCTTAGGCTTCAAGTTACCAGAAAGATTTGGGTTATTATTTTTAAGAGGACATACCATACATCATAATTATTGAAAAGTGGCTGCCTGGCCAAGCTGAAGTCAGGCACTTGTGTTACAAAAATGACAGCCCACTCTCAGGGCCTACACCAAGGTGGAAGACTTGGTCTGCAGCCTGATCACAGGTCTGACCTTCTGCTGCAGAAAAAATTGCTTTCCCCTAACCCAACCGATTCTTCTTGATTTTCATGCAATTTCCTTATGTTGCAATGTCTCTCATAGGTATTGGCTCATATTTCAAGGTAACTGTGGACTAATGGACTAATTGAAGTGTTCTTTACTACTACCCTTTTCCTTATTTTGTGGTTTAAATCTAGAATAGCTAGTATGTCATAAAATGAGGACCCCTATGTCCTGATATTTGTACTTTTGATATTAAATCCAGTGTTTAAACTTGCTGAAAATGGAAGTCTTTGATTATGTTTAACTCATTTTAAAATTATTAAAAGGAGAAGAATTGTTTCAGAACTCAGAGTGGGTGGATTTTATCTATTTTGTTTTGATAGTGTGTCTGTGTATAGAACATTACTCATCTTAGAAGCTGATTAAATGAAAATGGTTGCAACACAAATATTTGCACACCATTCTAAACTTCTTTGTGGAGTCCCGAGTACCTAGCACAGTCTGTGGCAGTAAGTGTTCGGAATGTTCTCATTTATCTTCATCTCCGAGAGGGAAGGCAGTGTGGTAGTTAAGTATGTGGACTTAGAGCAGATTGTCAGGGGTCCACTTTGGGCCCTGCTACTCACTGGATAGCCTTGGGAAGGTCATTTCACCTCTCTGTGTCTCAGTTTCTTTTCTGGGGACACAGTGATACCTGCATTGGTAGGAGCACTGTGAGGATATATGTAAAGTACCTAGGATGGCGTCAGGTACATGACTAATTTTGGTTAATATCCTACTTCATAATTAGGGAGGAGGAAGTCATGCCAAGGACTGTAAGTGAGAAAGGTGGTCCAGTTTGGTATACAGTGCCTGCCGTTTATTGCGAGCTGACTATGTGCCAGCTACTGTGCCACAGCTTCTTCCGGTGCTGGTTGGAAACAGCTCCAGGCCTTACTGGGGACTGTGATTAGTAACTTGGTGATTTGTTACTGCTTGATGGGGCGTTTCCACATTTGGCTATACTACTCTTAACTGATTATTGTGTTTTGTTTAAAATTAAATGTATTGGTGTGACATTGGTGAATAGGATCGTGTAGGGTTCAAGTGTACATTTCTATGATACAAGATCTGTATCCTATACTGTGTATCCACCACACAAAGTCAAATCATCTTCCTTCGCCATATATTTGGCCCCCTTTACCCCTTTACCCTCTTCCCTCTTTTTTTTTTTTAAATATATTTTATTGATTTTTTTACAGAGAGGAAGGGAGAGGGATAGAGAGTTAGAAACATCGATGGGAGAGAGACATCGATCAGCCGCCTCCTGCACATCTCCCACTGGGGATGTGCCCGCAACCCAGGTACATGCCTTCGACCGGAATCGAACCCCACCACACAAAGTCAAATCACCTTCCTTCGCCATATATTTGGCCCCCTTTACCCCTTTACCCTCTACCTCTTAAAACTTGCACCAAACAACAAACAATCCGATTAAAAAATGGGCAGAAGCCCTGAACTGTCTATTTATTGTCTTTGACTAATCCTTTTGCACTGTGTGTGACTATGGCCTTGCAATCATATAATGATGTAGTGTTTGTTTCAAGTGGGCACTTTCCGTCTTAAAAATAGGAGAGCAGAGGGGACAAAATAACCCCCCAAACAGCAAAACACACCATTCAAATGGCACAATGCAGGACAGGAAGCATCATTTACATTGGGTCAGAGCGAGGTTAGTGAGCATGTATAGTGTTCACTCACTCACAGAGTGCCTCCTTAAATATCAGAGCCTCTGCTAGTATGTAAGCTATTTGAGAACAGTGACTGTATTATTAAAAACAATTTGTGTACATAATGCCTCTCATTTATTGAGAGCTTACTACATCCCAGCTATTGTGCTCAGTCCTTTACATCTTATTTTAATGTAGTTTAAGAGCAGCTGAATGAATAAGATAACCCACTTTACAATCATTAGCCCTTGGTCACATAGCTTGTAAAGAAGATGGAATCTGGATGCAATTAGGTTGCCTGTACCAGTGCATAAAGCACCATGAAAAAGTATTCATGTTGGATTTGTTTTATTCATACTTTTGAAACTTTTTTTTTTTTTAGGCAACCTCCCGGCTTCTAATAAACTACCCAGAGCCCTATCGTTCTCAAATATTGGATTATCTCTTTAAGGTAATGGAAAATTAATTATTTAATGGTAGCTGTGATATTTTAGAAACAATGGTGAAATTCACCCATAGATTTTATCACCTCCTCAGTTCTAGTGTTGTTGTTTTTTTAAATGGCAAGTTACTTTTGGGATAAGTGGCTATTTATTTGAAGTTTTGTTTTGGTTTTCTCATCTGTAAAATCAAAGGCAGCAATTAGTAATTGTCTTGAAGTGGTGCTTTGTCCTTCATACCATGAATCACAGGTTAATACTGTTACTTCTTTCTCCAGCCAAACTTCGGTGCCTCTTTGCATATTCTAAAAGTCGAAATAGGTGGTGATGGGCAGACAACAGGTAGGAGTATCCCCTGCCCAACATTTGTATTTATACTTAAACTTATGGACTGTGACTTCAGAATATAAATAAAAGCAACGCTTGTTGATGTTGATTATTGCTTAGTAGATTACTCATTTTCCCCTCTACTTATTTTTTAAAAATTGTATCAAAATATGCATTTTTCCCATCTAAAACAGCATTTGGACTTTAGCTTGTTTATTTAGTTGAAGTAATTTATAGTAAATCCACAGTTTTTTAAGAGCTATATTATACAGCATAGGGTCAGTTTGGAATTGTATTGAAAAGTAAAAAAAAGCTTTTAATATTATATAAAATATAAAGTGTTAATAGATTTAAATAAAATAGGTGGTAAAAATATAAGTAATCAGATACATAGCTCTTTTTTTTTTTTTCTTTTCAAAACAAAATTCTTTGTAACCACCAAATCTTCAAACTTCATTGTGATTGTTTTGATGGCTTTGTGTAGCACATGTAGTTAGTTAAAAGATTATGGGCCAATAATGTCCAGGAAAAAGAAAATGGAAAGAAAAAGGAATTTAATTATCTCAATTATTATATACATATATGTATATGTATATATATGTATACATACAGTTATATATATTTAGGTCAGATTCCATTATAATGAACTCTAGACTTGTCTGCACACTCGAGTTCCTGTTAGAGATTTGGAAGTAATTTTTGTTAACCAGATATATCTATGTGGTGGTATTAGTGTTTAATTTATGTTGAAAGGAATGGATTGTGAGAATTGGCCCTTAGGAGCCCTGGGATTCACAACCAGGATTGAGAAGCTGGAAGCTCAGGAGATGTGAACTTGAAGTTGGAATTTGAAAACCCCAAAGACACCAAAAGCCCAGCAGAATGTAGTTGTAGGAATTTGCAATTATATGAGGTAATAACACTTCTCTTAAACTCCTTATAATAGAAAGTTGTGGTTTTATTATTGAAGATGCTTACGATGCTTAGGATAGTGAAAAAAAGATGAAACAATATGCTTTCATCATCCAGCCACAAGCTATATAAGGTTATTCTTGCCCCATTTCAGGATTGGAACTGGAATACTACTTCTGTGAAATGTGTATGTGTGTCGGGGAGAGTGGCCCTACGATGCACCATTAACGGAATTGCCTTTCTTTTACTCTCTCCCACTCAGATGGCACTGAGCCCTCCCACATGCACTACGAATTAGATGAGAATTACTTCCGAGGATATGAGTGGTGGTTAATGAAGGAGGCTAAGAAGCGGAACTCTAATATCACACTCATGGGTAGGAAGTGAAGTTTGCCATGCTTTTGCCGTCTGTTTTCCTTTAACTTTTAAAATCTGAATCATGTATGTAAAGACCCTATTAATACTGAAGTACTAATAATGTCATTAATACTACCGGTATGCTATCCATAGCAAAGCATGTGCCAGGCACGATCCTTTCTTTGCCCTTATATATTACCTCTGATCTTTATAATAATTCTGGAGTAAGGCATTATTTTCCACATTTTACAGAAGAAGCAGTAGAGGCTTAGAGAGGTTATGCCACTGATTTAAGGTCAGGTATTAGCAAATGGCAAAATTAGATACAGGAACTATTCCATTCTGGTGTTTTGTTTTATTTTTTTATGGTAAAATATTTTCCGCAACGAAATTTCTCATCAAAATTTGTCAAAGGGCAATGGTGTTATAAAATTGTATATTACATGCAGTAGTATATTCCAGCTCTTTGCAAAATTGTGTATTACATGTAGTCGTAGACCCCATTTCTAGAAGTGGTGCATACAAAAGGTTCATTGTTTGTTTGTTTTGAATCTCAGTGGCATGGTGGGCACTGTTTCAGGCACTGGGGACACCAAGCAATCCAGCCCCCAACTCCTGCCCCTTAAGCTTAGGTTCTAGTGGCAGGACAAATTGGATGATTCCCACATGGGACTATATGCATTTCACTGTTCTCCGTAGCAGTGTCCACACTTGTGAAATATTTCAAATGTACACCGAGGTGGCATACTTTCATCATCTGAAATGAACTTGATTTTTTGAAACAGGCTTGCACATTTGGACTAAGTTCAGGGAGATTAATGAGATCTATTTTATAGACTTGATTTCAAAAACCACTTTAAATATCTAAAGGACAAATGTAAGTTTTTATAAATTAAAAAATGCAGGGGTCAGTGTGTGCTCTGTAAATGGGCCTTTGTAAGAGATTCCAGAAATGTTTGGGGCAGTCAAAAGCACCATTGACTTCAGTGTTATTTGCCACTGTGCTGCTTTCAAGGTCACTGCTCATTTACATGCAGGAAATCAGGCTGTTGAACATGTCCTAGCAGAGACACACAGTAGGCCTGTAGAATGTATGTGGCATTTCATTGTTTTAAAGTTCTCTGTTATTTTAATGTCACATTTCTTATGTAAATACACTTAGGCATTCCTCCTGAGTTTAGAAAAATAAACATTGCGTCATTTTGATTTTGAACTTTTCAGTGGTGAACTAGATTGGTAACATATAAACAGTTAGGGAACTTAACTGTTGAGTTTATTTTAATGTATCAGTAACATAGTTAAGATTTAGAATTGTAAATCTACTCTTCTCATTTTTTTACATAAAGTAATCATTAGCATATAGGAACAATGTGGATTATTTAATCTGCATCATTTAACAAAGCTATATTTTCCCTATTGAGTCATTGGCATTTATACTGATATCAGGGCAAACTAGTTTTGCTGAATTTGATTACGTAATTTATATTTTAAGTAACCTTATCAGTGAATGAGGAATTTGTATTGTACTTACATCATAGGAGTAGTTAAAGAGTTCTAAAAGGCTTATGTTTGATTTGACCTGAGAGAACAGAAATGGGTTATTGAACATTCCCTATAGTAGGTGTTAGGGATGTTAAGTTAAATTGTACATTATATTTCTTTCTGTTGGTATCTTTGAGAGAGGTGTTTGTTTTTGTTGCTGTTTTTTTTTTTTAATTTCTTTTCCTTGAAAAGAACATTTGGGGTTATTGAATCTGACTCCATGGATCAGTAAGTATTCCTTTTGGTTTCCTTTGCTCTGTTTTTAATAGTGCTGGCATTGTTACACCCACTCTCCCTCTCTGCAGGGTTGCCGTGGTCATTCCCTGGATGGCTGGGGAAACGTTTCGACTGGCCTTATGTAAACCGTCATCTGACTGCCTACTATATCGTGTCCTGGATTGTGGGCGCCAAGCGTTATCATGACTTGGATATTGATTATATTGGGGTTAGTAATAGATTTAAAACAAGCTTACATTTATTTGTAATTTTTTAAAGTGGTACTTTGTTAACTAACCATTTTGTCTCATTGATTGTCTGCTTCCTGCATGTCACCTACTAGGGATTGAGCCCACAATCCGGGCATGTGCCCTAACAGGAATCAAACCATGTCTTCCTGGTTCATAAGTCGAGACTCAACTACTCAGCCACACCAGTGGGGCTGAAATATATTTTTTAATGTTTGTTTTTGGTACCACCCCAGCTCAAGTTCTCTCTCTTCAAAGCCTTTCCTAGCTCTCTAGTTCTTATAACAATATTATGTTTACTGTGCTGTTTAATGATTAGTCTCATTTTGCTCTATAAGTCTTCTGTGGTTCTAAACCAGGGGGTGGCAAACTCCTTGAAGGACCAAAGAGTAAATATTTTAGGTTTTGTGGGTCTTAAAGGTATCATGTAGGTAATTATATAACCATTTAAAATTGATCCATTTAAAATTATAAAAATCATTTTTAGCTCTCAGGCTATGAAAAGACAAGTGGTGTGCCAGATTTGGCAGGCTGGCCAAAATATGCCTACCCTTGTTCTGAACTGTTATTTAATAACTAGAGGCCTGGTGCACAAAATTTGTGCATGGGGAGGGGTCCCTCAACCCGGCCTGCACCCTCTCGCAATCCGGGACCCCTCAGGGGATGTCCAACTGCTGGTTTAGGCCGATCCCGCAGATCGGGCCTAAACCAGCAGTCAGACATCCCTCTCGCAATCTGGGACTGCTGGCTCCTAACTGCTTGCCTGCCTGCCAGATCGCCCCTAACCACTCGCCTGCCTGCCTCATCGCCCCTAACCACTCACCTGCCTGCCTGATCGCCCCTAACCACTCACCTGCCTGCCTGATCGCCCCTAACCACTTGCCTACCTGCCTGATCGCCCCTAATCGCCTCTACCTGCTTACCTGATCACCCCTAACTGCTCGCTGGGGGCCGTGGTCATTCTGGTCTCTGGTCATTTTGGGTGGTTCTGGGTCGCTGAACTTTTATTATAAGGATAATAAAATGGTAACACAATATCTTGTCTTTCCAGCTGCTCTCCTTGTCAGGTTGGAGGCATAACGTCAAACTGCGTTATATTCTTACAGAGGAACCCCCCCCCACAACAG